GAAATTTGTAAAAAAAAAAAAAAAAAAAGAAAGAAAAGAAAGGAAGAAGAAAAAAGTGAAACGTTAAAAAAAAGAAAGAGAGCGACGTATTCACTAAATTGAATAAACGATTTCTTCGTGTGTGTGTTTCGTGGAAACATTGCGAGACATTGGTATGTCAGATTATGAATATTGAGAAAAATTTCTCTACCCCTTTTTTTCTTCCGCGAAATTTATTGCGAAAAAGGGGGAAAAAAATGATATAACGTGAAACGAGTTTGTATCCATAGTATGTACGATTACGTGGATGATAACGAATAATCACGAAGCTCAGATTATTCCGCAAGATCAGGTAAAGATCTGCAGGAAGTGTAAGCTAAAATAGAACGATGAAAGAATTCAATACATGTAGTAGTGTGTGGATATACAGGGAAATAGATTGTAAAGATTTTTATGATTGTCTGAAATTATTATTGTCTTTGGTATTTGTCTTACAATTTCATTCTTAACACAACTAAACAGCGCAGCTGTTTTCAACATCTACGAAGCTTTTCCATTACGCGATACTTCAGATCAAACCTCAGTAGCGCAAAAGAATTATTTTATTACTGCACAACATATTTTGGCAATACGAATCGTATTTCTCGATTTACGTTGCATGCTCCTTATTCGTTAAATGATAACTTATAATTATTCAACAATGGTTATCTTCATTATTTCCTCCGGTTCTTCATTTCCTTCATTCTATATTTTATTTTACTAATTTTAATGCTAACCGTATATAGTATCAACAACAATTAAAAGCACGATACTACAGTTTCGTTTTATAATATTCTTTCAACGATGAAACTTTCATCGTGATGTAAATTCCTTCGCTTAATCGAGCAACGAACAATCCATTCCTTTACTTTTCTTTTTTTCTTAATCATGTTGCTCGGATTAATTTAAATCGACTAACGATCGATATGACGATGAAACTAGCAGAATAGCAAGCACATTGTTCATCACCAAACGGAACATTTCTTAATTGGGTTCATGGGTGCGCCTAGAGGACAATGAAATACTTCCGCGAAATCCTTCGAATTTGACAAAGTACCGATCACGCGAAATTTGCCAGGTGAATGCACCGCGGTTTTTAATTTATTCCTAGTAGCTTCCGGTCTCATCGAGCCACACCATACTTGAGCGAAATTGAGAAAGAACAATTGCTTTCCGGTCGCGTTCAAACCAGGCAGAGTTTCGTCAGCATCCTCGTTTAAGCGTAACCATCTTTCGTAAGCCTTAAAAGGATGTTATTTAAGAAATATTAATATTTTAGCATAAAAAATAATTATAATTCTTAAAGAATTTTCATAAGTTTCTTTGTTAAATATAATTATAGAAGAAAAAACAAACAGATCGAATTAGAAAGGAATTGCTTACTCGAAAAGCTTGTTTAATGCCACCATTGTCCGCGATATTCTCTCCCTGCGTATTCATTCCATCAATTTTCATTCCAACTTCGGGCACAATATAATGACTATACTGGTCTGAAAGATTAAGATTAAATAATATTTGAACAGTGTGTTCAAAAGAAAATTAAAAAGATCCTATTACCGATAAGACATTGGGCACGTTGATGAAATCCGTAAATAGCTTCATCTTTCCACCATCTGTGTAGATTACCATCCTTATCGAATAATCGACCTTTATCATCGAAGCCATGCGTAATTTCATGGCCAATTACAACTCCTATTCCACCGTAATTTAAACACCGTGGAAAATATCTGTGATAAAAGGGCGGTTGTAGTATGCCAGCTGGAAACACTGAGAATGAAAAATGATTTAATAATTAGTCAATTAATTGGTAATTTTCTTTGCTTTATTTGGTACAAAAGAAATGAAAAAAATGATAGTATAAAATTCTGGAATAGATTCTTTTTTATTTTGTTTTTATTAAAGAAATTATACTGACTTATCCTATTCTTGCTACGACTGTAATAAGCATTGACCACTGCTGGTGCGGTATTCCAGAGGGTCTTGTTAACAGGGCTGCCAAGCCGATCTTGTTCCACTCTGGTCAAATGTTGTAAAATATTTAATGTATTCTCGAAATACTTATCTGGACGGATCACGATCTAAAAGTTGACCAGATATTTAAATATATTTGTAACAACGAGTCTATTAATTATCGTTACCTAATCTAAAAAAAAATCAACTTTATTGTTCTTACATCCTTATAACGTTCATTCAACAATTCAGGTTGTAAAATGAAATCAGGATAGCCGATTCTTAACAGCATTGCGTTCACTTTCTCGGTGGCCAATTCTTTCGTTTCGTCATCGATCCAGGAAGTTTGATTCAAAAGCTCTTTAAATGATTGTTGTATCTCTCGAGTCATAGACAATGTCTACATAGAAAAATTTTTCAAATTGACAAATATTTAATCAATTAAAGAGAAAAAATTTTCCTTACATCGTTTTTGCTTTTTTCGTCGAAATATTTCTTCACGAACATTGATCCTACAGCCATGCCCATATTAGAATTCACTTGTGCTACACAATTTTTCCATCTGGGGGGTGCTTGTTCTCTTCCAAAAAGAATATAATAAAATTTTTGCTTAGCCTCTTGAAATCGATCATCTAGATTATTTACCCTATGCCTAACGAATCGCCAAAGAAGATAGTTTGCGATAGTTCTGCAAATAAAATATATACAAAAATTATTTAAAATTAAATTTTTTAATTAACAATGTTTAGTTCATATTTCACATTAAAAAATCTTACCGCGGACTAGTTTTTGAAAGAAGATTTACCAAGTCTTGGATATATTGCATCGCATAAACAACAACAGGTTCAGAAATATTAGTTGGTCGAGCTAAAACGATGGTTAAATATCGATGCCAATTAATTTGAGGTATCAGAGTTCTCAGTTCTCCAATACTCATTCTTTGATATAATTCTGAAAGATTTCTTCTTTCATCAGGAGATGATGTGATCTATGAAATACAAAGTCAATTGTTGAATGGTAAATAATCAAATTAGATAAAAAAATTAGAAGAATTGAAATTTATGTACATACTTTGGCAAGTTTCGTTTCAAATTCTATTAATTCGTCAGCATCCATAGTAGCATTCTGCAAAGATGCGCCCAGAAGAGTAGAAATTTTTATTAAATAATTTTTGTAAGCTTTCAGATAAATCATATTCGATGGTTGGAGAAAATAATCTCTTGTAGGTAAACCCAATGATGTCTGATCGAACTGTAATTCAATTTTTCTTAAATTTAATAAGTAAAAATAATAAAATAATAATAAAAGTATAATAGTTAACAATAAATAATATAATTGAAAATATATAACATTCGAATATTGTATAAAATATCGACTGTCACTACTTTATAAAAATTAAATAATTTCTTATCTAAAAAATTTGAAGAATTCAAATTTCTACCTGTATAACATATTGATCGCTGTTCTTAATATCTGGTGCAACCCATTCCGAAATAAGAATATCGTTATTATAAAGCCTCAATTGTGCAACCAAAAGAAGCCAATCGAATTTTTCTGGATCCCAGTTAGGTCTCAATATAGGCCATCCACCGAGTTCATCTAAAAGTTGTATAAGCGGCCGTTCCATGCGTTGCTCCAAGATCTCTAGCCACATGTCTCGTGTTAAAATTGATATTCATTTAATAAAAATTAATAAACAAAAATACCCGAAAAAATTTACCGTAATTCATACAACTTTGAAACAAATGTTTAGCCTTGACTATAGCATCATCCGTATTCAACATAACTTCTTTCAATATAGGTTCTTCAAGAAGCTCTTTCAACACAGAATCTAATGATTCTCTAATCATTTCGAACGTATCATAGGCAGCTTTGTCTTTAGGGATAGGATTGTGTCTCGCCCAATTGCCACAGGCAAACTGATAGAAATCTTCGCAAGGATCAGTACTCTTGTCCATGTACTTGAGCATGATTTTTGCTGCGGCGAATATCTGTTTCTTAAAAAGCGTATGAGCAGCAATTACGCAGAGTAATTAATAGGACAACATCGAAAATGTACCTTGAGCCTCTCTGATGGCCCACTCGTTTCCTTCGCCTTTCCAAAACGCATGGAAATCTGTATGAGTATCGTCTTCCTGTTGATAATCATCAATTGGCAAACTAGAGTCCGAGTCATCGATGGAAATTTGACGTCTTCCACCTTGTTCGCCCTCGTCCGACTCGTCTTGAGAACGTTCTTCAATATTATCATATTTGAAGAATTTGGAACGTAGTTCTTCATTTTTATGAGAGTCATGGGTGTACTCGCCATATCTGTGAAAGAAAATTTTTGAAAAAAGTTCGAATTTATATCGGAATTGGTAAAATATGTTTTTTTTTTTTTTCAATTTAAAAAGAAACTACGAGGATATTATAATAATTACAATTATAATAATTTATGAAAATTGATAATTACTCTCGATAATCGTTAGTTTGTATATCAGATTTTCCTTTAATCTCATCGGCATCCATCTCAGAGTAGTAATCATCCAAGAAATTGTTCAAATTTTCATCGGAATTTTGATCATCTGACTTTTCAGTGTTGTAGTCTACTTCTATCGCTTGATCCTATATTGGGTTATTCGATACAGAAGTAATATTTTTGCGATATTATTTTTTAAAATAAAAAGTTAAATGAGAACATAGAAATTGAAAGATGAATAGATTGTGTATTTTTATAAATAATGCGTTTTTTATTTCGAAGTTATTTTGGCAAGGGATAAAAAGATATGTCAAAAAATTGACCTTGCACGAAAAGAGACGATTGGTAGTGAGGCGATCGATATTTATACAGTACACCAGTAACACTAATTTAATGTTGATTAACTCTAATTAACGTCGTTGCGCACGACACTTGTTATCCGAAGTGGCTCATTTCCTTTTCAAATATTTTTTACCATCGAAGACATCTCTATTATTAATTCTTCAAAAATATCTAAAAGATAGAAAATTTAATAAATTTATAAAAATACAGCGATACACGATCGTCTGACCACTAATTCTCATTCGGTACATTTTAATATGACCACAATGGCGCTCCATGGTAAAAAGACGCCAAGTCCTTGCAGTCTTCTTCTATTTCACATATTAATATTTTGTATATACCTACATCTCTATAGAAATATTCAACCATAAAATAATTACTTATAATTAATCTAATATTATATAATTACCCTTTCGTAATAAGTACTCTAAATTAATTATTCTTCGGGACTGTTTTTCGCCAATTGACGGGCCACTGTGGTGTGTGTTCGTTGCTATGTTTTGTTCGAAGCTAACGATCGTAGATTCAAGAAGGAAGGATGATTTTTAAT